AATGCACAGAAATCTCTTGCATTCCTATACACTAATCATGAAAAATCTGAAAGTGAAATCAAGAAAACCCTCCCATTTACCATTGTAACAAAATGAATAAAATATCCAGGAATAAACCTACCTAAGGAGACAAAAGACATGTATGCAGAAAATTATAAGACACTGATGAAGGAAATTAAAGATGATACAAACAGACAGAGAGATATGCCATGTTCTTGGATTGGAAGAATCAAATTGTCAAAATGATTATACTACCCAAAGCAATCTACAGATTCAGTGCAATCCCTATCAAATTATGAATGGCATTTTTCACAGAACTAGAACAAAAAATTTCACAATCTGTATGGAAACACAAAACACCCTCTAAAGCCAAAGCAATCTTGAGAAAGGAAAACAGAGCTGGAGGAATTAGGCTCCCTGACTTCAGAGTATACTACAAAGCTACAGTAATCAAGATAGTATGGTACTGGCACAAAATCTGAAATATAGATCAATGGAACAGGTTAGAAAGCCCAGAGATAAACCCATGCACATATGGTCACCTTATCTTTGATAAAGGAGGCAAGAATATACAGTGGAGAAAAGACAGCATCTTCAATTAGTGGTGCTTGGAAAACTGGACAGCTATATGTAAAAGAATGAATTAGAACACTCCCTAACACCATACACAAAAATAAACTCAAAATGGATTAAAGACCTAAATGTAAGTTCAGACACTATCAAACTCTTAGAAGAAAACATAGGAAGAACACTCTATGACATAAACCACAGCAAGATCCTTTTTGACCCACCTCCTAGAGAAATGGAAATAAAAACAAGAATAAACAAATGGGACCAAATGAAACTTAACAGCTTTTGCAAGCAAAGGAAATCATAAACAAGACGAAAAGACAACCCTCAGTATGGGAGAAAATATTTGCAAATGAAGCAACTGACAAAGGATTAATCTGCAAGCAGCTCAATAACCAAAAACAAACAACCCCATCCAAAAATGGGCAGAAGACCTAAATAGACATTTCTCCAAAGAAGATATACAGATTGCCAAGAAACACAAGAAAGAATGTTCAATGTCATTAATCATTAGAGAAATGCAAGTGAAAACTAAAATGAGATATCATCTCACACCAGTCAGAATGGCCATTATCAAAAAATCTAGAAACAATAAATGCTGGAGAGGGTGTGGAGAAAAGGGAACCCTCTTGCACTGTTGGTGGGAACGTAAATTGATACAGCCACTAGGAAAACAGTATGGACGTTCCTGAAAAAAGTAAAAATAGAGCTACCATATGACCCAGCAATACCAGTACTGGGCATGTACCCTGAGAACACCATAATTCAAAAAGAGTCATGTACCAAAATGTTCACTGCAGCTCTATTTACAATAGCCAGGACATGGAAGCAAGCTAAGTGTCCATTAACAGATGAATGGATAAAGAAGATGAGGCACATATATACTATGGAATATTACTCAGCCATTAAAAGAAACAAAATTGAGTCATTTGTAGTGAGGTGGATTGACCTAGAGTCTGTCATACAGAGTGAAGTAAGTCAGAAATATGAAAACAAATACTGTATGCTAACACATATATATGGAATCTAAAAAACAAAACAAAAAATTTGTGCTGAAGAACCTACCGGCAAGAGGGGAAAAAGCCCCAGACCTACTAGAGAATGGACCTGAGGATACGGGGAGGGGGAAGGGTAAGTTGGGACAAAGTGAGAGAATGTCATGGACATACCAAACGTAACATAGATAGATAGTGGGAAGTAGCCACATAGCACAGGGAGATCAGCTCGGTGTTTTGTGACCACCTAGAGTGGTGGGTTAGGGATTGTGGGAGGGAGGGAGATGCAAGAGGGAAGAGATATGGGGACATATGTATATGTTTAACTGATTCACTTTGTTACAAAGCAGAAACTCACACACCATTGTAAAGCAATTATACTCTAATAAAGATGTTAAATAAATAAATATATATATATATATAAAATTAGAATATTCCTAAGGATGAAAGCAGCAGCAGATAAAGATGTTGGCTCAGTTTTTGGTCAAGCTTGTATTATGGCCCCAAAGGCCAAATAAAATCCTGAACCTTGGGGCAGGACAGGAATAAAAGCACTGAATTAGAGAATGGACTTGTGGACACGGGGAGGGGGAAAGGTGAGCTGGGACGAAGTGAGAGAGCAGCACTTACATATATACACTACCAAATGTAAAATAGATAGCTAGTGGGAAGCTGCATAGCACAGGGAGATCAGCTTGGTACTTTGTGACCACCTAGAGGGGTGGGATAGTGAGGGTGACAGGGAGATGGAACAGTACTGTGTTATGGGGATATATGTATACATATAGCTGATTCACTTTGTTATACAGCAGAAACTAACACAACATTGTTAAGCAATTATACTCCAATAAAGATGTTAATAAATAAATAAATTAGTTTAAAAAAATTATTTTTTGTTTTGCTATCAATTAACTAATATTTTTCTTTATTTTCCTTTTTATATTACTTGAGGATGTGGTTTTTAAGTAGTAATATTGTGTTAAGAATGTACTAACAATGGTAGTCCTTGATATGGTAAGTATATCTTCCTTTAAAAAAAGTCTTGAAACATTCTATCTTTTTTTGAAGAGTGAGGTAAAAAGATTTGTATAAACAGTAAATTAAAAGAAAATTTACCTTAATTATAGGGCAAACTGATAGGGAAATGGTCATTTCCAATACAATCACTGCTTACGTAACTACAATTTTGTTCTCACTTATAATAATTGTCTGGTGGTACCCTTTTCTTTCTAGGATTTAAGTGAACCTAGTATACATGCATGCAGAGGCAAAAGGAAGATTGCAACTCATTAATAGTGCCAATTGTGGATAATAATTTTATCATTAGTTTTACTCTATAACAAGGCCCAAACCCATTGCTTTATTTTCATAATGATAATATGATCCCAGATAACTGAAAACTCTTAAGTAGTTCTTTCTGAGAAACTTGTGAAAGGGCCTCACAAATACATGGTTCTTAAAGTTTAATTTATTTCATTCCTATACAATTCAATTTTTTATATGCTCTGACTATGTTCTTGCTCTCCGATTAAATGACACATTATCCTTAACATAAACTCCCAGATATGGAAAAGCAGCTACAGCTGAACTAACTTCCTACAGAAACAACCATAAAACCTGAGAAAAAAATATTGTATACTTGAAAGTTGCTAAGAGAGTAAGTTCTCATCACAAGAAAAAATTGTAACTGCGTGGTGTTAACCAAACTTATTGTAGTAATCATCTCCCAGTGTATACATATATCAAATTACTATGTTTACCTAAAATGAATATGTTATATGTCAATTGTATCTCAATTTTTTAAAATCTGTGAAAATATTTTTTTAAAACCTATCTATCTAAAGCCATATAGAAATGTAAATAGTAACTGAAGTGAAGTTGGCATTTGAAAGAAAGAAAAGGAATAAATGAATTTACATCTATTACAAGTTTTAGCCATGTTCCAATCAGTGCCATTGAGGACCAGCTAAAATTTCGGTGGAATCCTTCAGTATTTCTGCCTTGAAGAACTAGAGAATAGGTTTTAGGATAACCAGTCCCTGGAATTATAGGGGTAAATTCTAGAAAGGATACCACTGCAGGGAACACCCCAAATTCCATGTAGAAACTTTTCCCTGAATGTTGAACTTTTCATAGGCAGTGCAGACTATAAACAGACAAGCTAAGGGTAAAAGAACAAATATAATATTTAAGCTGCCACCTACCACAGGGAAATCAAAATTTGCAGTTTTAATTCTGCCCCATAAACTGCTTATTTTAAAAATAATAATAACATACTTTGGAGAAACATAAAAGAATTTAGAGTTTTCTACAACATTTAATACACTATGTCCAAGATATAATTCAAAATTACTCAATAGGGCTTCCCTGGTGACGCAGTGGTTGAGAGTCTGCCTGCCGATGCAGGGGACACAGGTTCGTGTCCTGGTCCAGGAAGATCCCACATGCCAGGAGTGGCTAGGCCCGTGAGCCACAGCCACTGAGCCTGCGCGTCCGGAGCCTCTGCTCCACAATGGGAGAGGCCACAACAGTGAGAGGTCCGTGTACCGCAAAAAAAAAAAAAAAAAAAAATTACTCAATAGATGAACAAATAAGAAAACATATCTTCTCAAGAGAAAAGACAAACAATGGACAGAAACTTTGAGATCGCCTAGATATTGGAATTAGCAAAGGTTCTAAAACAGTTATCATGCTTATGTTCAAGGAAGTCAAGGAAAATATGCTTATAATGGACAAAGAAAAATCTCAGGTGGGAAATAAAAAAAAATAAAATTGAACCAAGTTCTAGATTTGCTAAATCTTTTTCTGAAATTACAAAAAGCAAGTTCAGAACTTACTTAACAATAGAATAGAGATGACAGATAAATGTTTAGTAAGCTTGAAGATGGATCAAAAGAAATTATCCAATGTCATGTACAGAGAAAAAAAAAATAATTAAAAATTTAACAGACACTTAGGTATCTGTGGGACCATACAAAAACATATAACATACATGTAATTGGGTCTCCAAAAGTAGATTAGAAAGGGAATAAGTTAGAAAAAAATTTTTAAGAAATAAAGTCTAAATGTTTCCCAAATTTAGTTAAAACATCAATTTACAGATCCATGAAGTTCAGTGAAAACAAGGGAGTATTTATCTAAATACAGCCACATATATATATAGGCATATCACAGTTAAACTGTGGATAGCTAAAGATAAACTCTTGAAATCAGCAAGGGAAAAATGTTGTGGTGCCTCAGAATAACAATTTGAATGACTACAAATTTGTCAATAGAAAGCATGAAGGCCAGAGGATGATGGAACAATGTTTTTAAAGTGAGGGAGAAAAAAAATACTGTTAATACAGAATCTTATGTTCAGCAAAAATGTTTCTCAACAATAAAGCAAAATCAAGATGTTTTTAGATAAATAAAATGAATACCTTCTCTACAAGAAATGCTCAAGGTAGTTCTTCAGGCTGAAGGGATACACGATCATAAGGAAAATGGATCTGCAGAAAGGAATGAAGACCTTTGAAAATAGTAAATATATGGGTAAATATAAAGATTAATTTTTATCCTTTAATTTATTTATAATATATATAATGTACAAAGAAAAACATTGCTAAGATTTTATTTTTGGATTTTAAGACAGCTGTAGGGGTAATATTTATAATGACAACTGTAAAAGGATGGTGGGGTGATAAACAAACCTATAGGTTGCAAATTTTCTATATTTTACTTGAGGTGTCACATTATTAACTCTAAGTAACTGTAATTTTTTAGCAATCACTAACATATTATGCAAACAAATATATCTAAAAGATAATAGATAAATTAAAATGAAGTTATCTCATTCCTGCCAACACTATCCCCATCAGTTAATTGAAATGTCAGGAAAGGAGAAAAAAAGAGAAGAAAAACACTGGATAGAAACAGAACAAATAGTAAAACTAAATCCAATCATATCAATAATTACACCAAATCTTAACAAATGTTAATAGACTAATACCTCTAATTAAGTGGCAGAAATTATAAGAATGAATAAAAAGGCAATCTCCAACTGTATGAATTAATGAGGCATGTTAAATATAAATGCACAGAGATGTTGAATGTAAATTGATGAAAAAGGACATATTATGCAAACAATAAGCATAGAAATGATTTAATGACTGTACTAATATCAGGTAAAGTAAAATTCTAAGCAAAATGTATTATCAAAGATAAAGGTGAACATTTCTTAGTGAAAATAGGGTCAATTTCCCAGGAAAACAGATCACCTTCCCTCTAACATTCACACCCATACAAGTATCTTCTAATTCAGGCCATATATGAGCATTCTGATGGTTTATTTTCCAATAGGTAAAGCATATCTTACAATATAAATTCATATAGTTATGCTGATATGTAAAATTCCATAGCATTCATGCTCTTGCATTCTTTAAGAAAAAATTCTCAAAGTAAATCAGATATCCCTTCAGATATTTGTGGCTTCAAATATCGCTCAGTGGTGGGCAGACATCCTTCCAGTTATTAGCGTCTTCATTATCCCACTGGTCCAGAGATATGAAATATCATAGGATATTTATAGCAGATTTTTGGAACAAAGGTTATTTTTAATGAACAATTTTTGTAAGATTTGTACAAAGAAACCCTAAGAAATAAAGATGGACCTCCTGATATTGGTGTAATCTTTTGCATAGATGCACTTAATTGCTGAGATTATGTGCCTGAGGTGTTTTGCAGCTAATGTTGTCACTTACTACTGCAAAGTTTCCATTCTGTACTTAAATTCAGATATTGCAGAGAATAATGAGAAAATCTATTTGTTTTCTTTCTGACTATTCAGACATAAATAAATACATAGTTATCAGGAGGGAAGATCAAAATTTTATGAAATTCCACATACATTTCTCAGGTGTTTATTTCCTGTGCAAAGAACAAGAAGAGGGAGAAAATAGAATGAAGGTTAAAGACATTCAGGTGCACCACATATTCTATAAGGTCTGGAACTTTGTTCATTCTATGTAATGCCCAAGAGAGCTCAGGTCAAATCCTTTTTCCACAGGGAGCTTTTAAATGACTGCTGCTGGGCTTCTCTTTCAGACAAGTGATTTCAGAATTGTTGCAAGAAGGGCATTGAACATTGATAGTTTAGATAAGTATTCCAGGTGATCCCAATTTGGTGCCAGGGTTTAGAACCATTGCTTTAGGAATTCTATGAGAATGTATTCAATTTTATTTGGTTGTAGGTATATGAATTTAAGTAACTTTGGATTCAGTTTCATGCTTTTTCTGTAACATTAACATCATAGCTTTTTAATAGCCATCACAAGTAGCAGACACTCCCACATTTTTGATGGAATTGCAAACACCCTTAAATAAGCACTATACATACATAAAGTAGGTGAAGGTTGGGGTGGGTACTACCAATATCACTTAGTCTTCCTACATTCTTTCTTGAGAAGTAAGCACTAGCATGGGAACAAAGCTGTTCTTTCCTCAAAAGAAATGCCAGAGGCTAAGCCAGGAAGCCTTCAATATTGCTGCCTCCAGAACCTTGTCCCATATTAAAACTTTAGATTAATCAGTGGAGGGACATTCAGGTTGTTTCCTACCATCTGCTTGCTCTGGCCAAGTTTTCCTTTTATATTCAGGTTGGTCATTTTTCAACAGACTACAAAAAGGAAACTCTTGACTCACACATTGTTCAGTTTATCATTCCCCCAAATGAATAAATGCAAGTGTTGCAAACCTCTAAATAAATGATTGATAAATATTTACAACCTTAATCAAAATACTCTGAGAGAACATATAAGTCTCCAATCTTCTTCCTTGCTTCTAGGCAACTTGGTTGAAACATCTTTCTAATCTGCAGAAGCTGTTGTTAAAACTGCTGAAATGAAGTTTCTAATGCTATTAAATGAACTCTGAGATAGCGTGATATGTTTCAGTTTGTGTGGAAGGAGCTGTTAAATCTAAATCCTATCTAAACTAAACCTTTTTAATTTACTCACCTAAATGTGAGACTCTTCTGCGACTGCATTTCTCTATTGTGCAATGGTAGAATTTAGAGGTGTTAACAACTGACTTCTTCCTGGATTTATGGTGATTTGTGGAGCATAGAATAGAAAATGCTGACTAAAACTGAGCTTCATGCCAGTGGCCCATTAGATGCTTTGACTTCTTAATAACCTACACAGTTATACATTCAGGCTGAAGGAGATTTCATAAACACCTTTTTGCTAAAAATGCATTCATTTTATGCATCTCTGAGTAAAGCTTCCCACAGTGATCCATTACACTGCTTAAAGCTTTAACCTTTTGTAGGACATAAAAAAAATGTTTTGCTTTCAAAATGAAGTGTATTTTTTTCGTGTATGCTGTGGGAGGTGAAGAGATTTCTGGATTATTTATTTACAAGCTGTTTATGAGTTGAGATTTTCAAATTTCAAAGCAAAGCCATGGGAAATTTAATTGTATCAATTACTTCATGTTATTTTGATCTTTTCACAAGAGGAATATTATCATTCAAGACAATTATTTTCCTATTTCTTCAGTACTGTGAAAGAAGATGTAAACTCATTATAAAGAAGTAATTGCAGCTTCATTTTCTTTCATTGTGAACACCCAAGATTTTTTTTCTTTTTAACATCAACGTATCATCTTGTACAATTAACAACAGTTCGACTTGATATAGTGTTCCATTGAGAAATGAATATGGTGTTTGGAATACTTTTACTCAATATTTCCTGAGTTAAAAATATGTTTCTAATCTGATAAAAAGCCAAATGATTCAGCTTTATTTAGTGATTACTACCATTCCAAATGTTGTAAAAACTTCTCATGATTCTTTTCCCAATTTATAAAAGTGAATCTTAAGATGATTTATTTTCATGCTACGTGTGATTTGAACAAAGCTTTTAACCATTTTATAATCACTGATAAATCTATAAGTAGATCATTACAGGCTGCTGTATTTATTAAAAGCAATGACCTTAGATTCTTTTGGTATTCTAACATCCTTTTATTAACAGAAAGGAAGCATGTTTATAGGTATAGTCACCTGTGTTTAATGAAAATAATAAGTCACTTTGTATGGGACTTAATACTCTCCATGGGAAGAAAGGTGGCTATTGAGTAGGTTGAATTTTCCAGTTAATTCTCACTTTCCATTAAGTGTGCATCAGAATCAGGGTATATAGTGGCAGTTAAAGGCACCTTTATACAGCTTATACTTTCAAAAGAAAGATGTACAGAAAAAGGAAAATTTCTTACTTTGGCTGAATTGTACTATTTTCCTACTTTGAGGGTACATTTCTCCCTTAATCACACAACTGTAAAGTGCCTGGCTCAGTGATAAGTTTTCATATGAATACATGATAGAAGTAATGTCCTAGAGATTAACTCTAGGAGGCCTGGTCTTCAAAGGTTAGAACTATGGCCATTTTTTGGGTAGCATAGAACTATCTAAATTATTTATTCACCAAAGTGTAGATTTGGGAATATGTACCCTACTGGTATCTTTTTGTTCAGAGAAAACAGCCTACTCAATTCAATGCTTTATTAGCTCCATATTGTCAATGAAAAGAACAGGCCGTATGGTTATTTTCAAGGAATATGTTTATGTATTATATCATATATATTTGCAAGCTTTAGATGTTACATTTGCATACAAATAGGCCAAAATGAATAGATGAGTAGTATGTGAGGCATTTTCATATATATATGAATAATATATGTGCATATTAATAAAATGTACACCTCTCTTCCAAACCTTAAGCTTAAGTACTAGCAACTAGAGTTTACATATTAGTATTGTAACATGTAATGTAGAACACTACTGAATGAACAAGTTGTCTTCATTCATTAGAGTATCCTTCCCTCCTATTTCCTGGAATTAATTTTTCTAGCCTTATTGTAATTTCATATTACTGATTCTAAAAATTACTTAGCTAGTTAGGAAGGCAGACAAAGAAACTGAAGATATATGCCTGAACAAAAAAGGGAATTATAGTCTTTGCATATAAATACTTTAGATAGGCCTTGTGCCCCCCAATGGCCATTGCCTATAGTTTGTGGAGTCCCTGCTTTACTTTACCTTCTCCAACAGTGTTCACCCATATTCCTAGTCTGTCTTTTTCTACCTCTTTGATTACATTATATCCTAATCTTCCCATGTTTCTGACTCTGGCATGGCAACTTGATCTTGCTTTCTAATAATGACCTTTTTATGTATCTCAATTTTGGTATTCTTTATTTTTAACTGATTTCTGACTATACCTAATCAAAAAAGAAAGGTAAAAAATACTGATAATGGTGATAGTGATGATGATGATGATGGAAGAGACACTTTATGACCCAAAGATTTTAATGAGTTATGTTCAATATTTCATTTTTATAATAAATCTGTGAGGCTGACATTATTAATATCATTTCCCAGAAGAAAAAAAATAAGACATTAGGTAGATTAAATAAGTTGACCAAAGTTATATAATTGATAAACATTGAA